GTTTTGCGAGAGGTTGCAAATGTTTTGTGAGCGAACACAATGTTTTAAAGGGGACACGCAGTAGTTTTGCTAGAGATCGCAAATGTTTTGTGAGTGAACGCAATGTTTCTATGGGAAACGCAATAGTTTTGTAAGAGATGGCAAATGTTTTGGAGCAAACGCAGTGTTTTTCAGGGGAACACAATAGTTTTGTGAGATTGCAAACGGTTGTGAGCGAATGTAAATGTTTTGTGAGTGAACGCAACATTTCTTGGGGAAATACAATAGTTTTGCTGGAGATCGCAAATGTTTTGCGAGTGAACGCAAAGTTTCATGGGGGAACACAATAGTTTTGCGAGAGATTGCAAGTGTTTTGCAAGCAAATGCAAAGTTTCTCTAGGAAACGCAATAGTTTTGAGAAAGATCATTAATGATGATAAATGAGAACGCAAATGTTTTGGATTGAACAAGTTTCTCAGGGAAACACAATACTTCTGCAGAAACATTGAAATATAATTTTTTTTGTCTCCCAACACATATTTTTTTTCCCCATCACCATGTCCTCTTAGGGGCTCCATATTGTTCTGTTATTTCTACTCTACCTTTAAGACTTCTATATGTAAATGATCTGTGTTATGATTGGATAACCTCAAGAAATTGCTGAAGTTGCTAGGTGTTGATGTTTAAATGTGGGCATTCATATGGTAGCGGGCTTATGTTTTTGCTAGGAGCTTCAGTGGTTTCACTTTTTGGAATGTACTAATTTTCTTTCCACCTCTATTTTGTCTCTCTGTCTTTCCACACACCATACCTATCAATGACATTTCCATTCTGTCTAAAGCTGGAGGGTCTTATGTTGTTCAGTATTGTATCATTCGGTGAGGTAATGATCCTGTAGTATTTGTGCTGTACATTAGAGACGTGCTCATAGAGGATATGCGCCTTTTGCCAGCCGGCACTGTGCTCACCGGTTTTGGGTGTCTGTTTGTATATATATATGTGGGTCTTTCTCAGAAAACTGTGCTTTTTTTTATAATTTTATTTGAAAAAGTTATTTCTGAACTTTCAAGAAATAATTTTTTTCCCACCTCAGGCACAAATTACCAGGACAGTACTACCTTAGACATTAGCTGATCGCCTTAGGTTGATGCATCCTTCCCATTTTCAGATTTTTCCCCTTCTAGTTACTATACTGTTAATCCCAATATTGGAAGGGAAAAAAAAGTTAAAAAGTCAGCTGTGCCAGAAATTCACGGTAAAAAAATATGGTGTCTATGTTTCAGGTATTACGGGATGGCATATCTGTGTCCGTATATATTTTACAAATTTAAACATATTTCATTATAATGTGATATAATGTTAATATTCTAAGCTAACTAACTATCAAAATCAGTATATTATTTAAACCCTTTAGAAATTTGCATTTGAATTATAAATCTATATTAATCTATATTAAATTGTAATTATATTGGTTGAATGAAAGTCATTAATAAAACATAAAATATGATAACGTTAACCAGCCATTTATCCTTAATTTACAGCCCATTACATGATTTACAGTGATTATACTCAATATTTGTACCAATATTTTTTTTTTTCTGTAAAACAAATATACTGAAAAGATATTGAAATGAGTCTGATGAGGCCAATAAACATAATGATATACTGATAAAGACTGAAAGAGAAATTCACCATGTGAATTTATGATTATGATTTAAAAAATAAATTAAAAGGGCTAATGTCAGTATACCCAAAGTGGCGAATGGGGTCATGCACATTGACATGTTTTATGAAAATCAAACATTTAACAAGTACAATTTTGTTTAATTTAAAAGTTTATTGCAAATTTATTGCAAATATTGCAACACAGGTCTGTTCATTGCATCAGTAATCATGGAGACATGCTTGGCACCATTTCCTGAAAATGACCCATGTCTGTGAGAATGAAAGAGTATCTTCTCATGTAACCCTACCAGCTGTCTAATAGCTAATGCATTTGTAGATTGACTGATTTACAGCTTGATTAGTTCATATAATACACATTAGAATTGAGTGTCCCTGTGGAATTTAGGAGAATTGCCTTCATGTGTTTATGTGCAGTCGCATTTTAAAAACATCTACTTGTGTTCCAAGTTTTATGTTTTTTAGCATTTCGTTTATTATTCCCAAGAGAATTATTAAGAGAACACATGAGCTACTTAGAGCTCACATTCAGGTTGCACTCTGAAATGAATGAGGGTTTTAAACATATTGAAATTATCTCTTTGATGAAGACCTGCATACATTACCATTCATTTGCATATATAAGCATGCTGTCTTTAGAAAATTTCACATGAAAGATTCCATCCATTTTAACCCACGTAAAATAAAAGCACCTGTGTCAGTGTTTGATTCTGCTTTGTGTTCAACACTGAAACAACTTGATAATATAGCCTGGTGAAATATTCATGGCCCTTTCAAACAAGGACTTTGGCCTTATTGATGATTGAATGCTTGTTAGATTGCTTTGCAAATGAATCCTGCAGTTAATTTAATGTTATTTCTTTACTATATATAGGCTATATATAAAAAAAAGTTTTGGATTCAAATCAGACTGTCTTATCACAATTTATATGCATTTCTTTTTCAGTCTTCCTCTCGGAAATTAACTCCCACCCATGACAAAGCAATGCTTGCCTTGCCTGTTGACACTGTACAAACGGTGATTGTGTGTTTACCCTGACCTTTGGCTTTGTTGTATAAGATTTTCCAAGAGGAGACATGCATACATTTATTATAAACAGATCATTTTATTTTTATATAAAAGACCCCCAATATCCCTTCTGTAGATTTTCATGACCATATGTTTTCAGCATGCTGAATATTTTGCGTTTGCAAAGGCGGAGGGCACGGGAGACACCACACATCACCCCAGAGAGACCACCAACATGAAGACTCAAACTGTGGCCTCTTACTTCAGAGTAAGACTTTTGAAGACCTAATAATGAGAAGAACCAATAAAAATCTCTTGTCACTCGTCACTCCTTATCACAGTCTTGCTTTATTCACTGTACTTTGCAGTATTCTCTAATGGACCTGTTATCAAAGATGGTGGCAGGCCAGCCTCACTTTGTGCGTTGCATAAAACCCAACAATGATCGCCAAGCCCATAAGTTTGACAGGGAGAAGGTTCTAATCCAATTACGCTACACTGGTATTCTAGAGACGGCCAAGATACGCAGACAGGGCTACTCTCATCGCATTCTCTTCAACAACTTCATTGAAAGGTTGGACAGATACTACATATTACTGTGTGTCAAGTGCATAAACCCCTTTTCCACCTAAATGGTGTTTATGTTGGTGCTAGAGCCAATACCAATACTCTCATCCCATAACTGGCCTGTGTTTCAAATGACTTGAGAAATGAAAAATGACATGGTGTGACTACATAACCCCCCTTCAAACAAAGCCATCATGGAACCCATTATAGCTCATCGTGATCTTTGGTCTTAGTTTTGAAAACTTATTTTAATATCCAAAGTAACAGCCATCAAAACAGGCGAGGACCACCATTTAACAACCAATAATGGACCACCTCTTCCAATACCAGCACTAGCACATTGCTGGTGGAAAAGGATTGCCTCTTTAGACCATAATTTCTTAATTGTTATGTTCAGAGTTGCCTTTTACTAACAATTGGTCTTTTCAGATACTCTATATTAGCATTTAGAGCCAATGAGGAGCCAGCAATGAATCCTGAGACATGTGCTGTTATTTTGGAGAAGGCCAAACTAGAGAACTGGGTTCTAGGAAAAACAAAGGTTTGTGAATGAATGGCATTAATAACTGCCATTTTTTTGTTCAACCAAGTTCCTAAGTCTGGTGGTTATGTGTTCAGGTATTTCTTAAGTACTATCATGCGGAGCAACTGAATCTGATGGTGAGGCAGACCACGGACAGGATTGTTCTGGTCCAAGCATATGTACGGGGCTGGCTGGCATTTAAACGATACCGTTTGATGCTGGAAAAGCGAGAACAAAGTGCCGTGGTGTTGCAGTCAGGTGTGCTGATGTTGTTGTTGTTGACTAGATGTTAAAATGCAGAATACTCTGCTGAACAAGCTCTAAAATCTAATTTCTTCTAGCATACAGAGGACACAAAGTTAGGAAAAGAGTGGCTGATGACAAAAGCAAAGCAAAGTCAGAAGCTTTTATCACACAATTCCAAGCAGGTAAGACAAAACATATTAAAAATGTATTGAAGAAACTGAATTAAATGAGTTTAGAAGGAAAAGACTTACACTAAATCATGACATCTTCATACAGTTTGCAGAGGATATCTGGCAAGGCAGAAATACAAGGAGTTGCTAGATGAGAAGAACAAAGCTGCTGCAAAGATCCAGGCCCATTACAGGGGGCACAAAGAGAGGAAAAGCTTCAAGAGGAAAAAGTAAGTCCTGTTCTTATTCCAGATGATTTTATCTTCCTACTTGTAGATTATCTGAGAAATAAAATGCAACATTTTCAATCAAAGGTTCATCAATTCAGTTTAAATTCAGTCTCATCAAGCTCTTTGTCTTACTGGTTCCTTGTTCTTCCAAGCATTGTCTTCATTTTCTTGGTTTCATTTTCAGTCTCTAGCTGTCTAACAAAAGGTATGTGCTAACCATACAATTAATACTAAAGTCCTGCAAGACCATTTTACCAAATTACCAAAAAATAACATCAATTGCAACAGCTATACCAACTTGTGTTGGTATGAAAAGAGAGAAGCCGTGAAGTGAAACGAGAGACTCCCAGTAATACCGGGATATTGACAACCTTGAAGGGTCATGAAGGTCATTGGTTTTAGTTGGCTGAGTTAGGATGTCTTTCTCTGTGTAGCTTGCATGTTCTGCCCCGCATCCTCTGGGTAACAGTCCAATACATGCGGGATAGGTGAATTGGAGACGATAAATTGTCCGTAGATGTGAATGTGTTTCCCTGGGATGGGCTCCAAGCATCCCAGCAACCCTATATTTGACAAGTGGTTTGGAAGATGGATGAATACTAAAATCTTAGACTGCTTAATGCTGCAATTGACAATCAGAGCAAGGTACACATGCGCTCGACTGCTCCTCCCAGTCCAGGGTCGTTTTTCAGTATAATTTTGGACTTGCATCCTCGGTAGTTTGGACTCAGGAGTGTGAACTCCCGGGGACGGGACGACACAAGTCTGGTAATTCTGCAAATGGAACAGCAGCGTACTTGATAATGTCAGTCAGCTCGCCTTGGCTACTGCAATTTCCCTCACTGTATTTACAATAAAACAAAATATGATATCAAACACTACTGCCTCTTTTCATTTTCATTTAACCATAGGATATTAATAGCCGCAGAAATGTAGTTCAGGGAACATACATGCATAACATATTAATATATTAATAGAATAAAGACCAAAGATGACCTGTTAGATTTACCCAAAACGAATTATATCTCATGTTTAACCACGACAGAGACATCGGAGCCAGTGGCAAATGTCAGAAGGACTAGCCGAGTTGAGGCTGCTCTCGTCGGTATTCATAAGTACTGAGCGCCCGCTGATCGCGTGAACCTCACCTCTCCGAAACTTGCGAAGCACATTTTCAAATAGTCGCTGTCTTTACAAATAAACCGCAGATTTGAGTTTTAAACAACTACATTCTTGCCTGACGCCACACCGAAAGTTCAGGACCGTTGAAAAAGTACTACCTCACGAGCAGGGACTTTCTGAGGGGCAAATTTTTACCCGGAACTTTATTTAGATCCTGGTTCCTGCGGTGGAAACACACCGAGTACTGGCCCAAAGTCCCTAGTTCCTAGGTAAAGTTCCTGCGGTGGAAACAGGCTTATAGAGTAGAATCAAGAATTCAACAGTGCCATGGTAGTATAAACTGATTTATTTTACACAGGGAAGCCATGCAGAAGGAAAAAGTTGAGAAGACAGAGGAAGTGACGGAGGTCCCATCAGAATCAGAAGATCCAGTTACAGAGGAACCTCCACAGGAAGGAGGTGAAGTGGTAATGGATGAAGCTGATGAAAAGGCTGCTGTGGTCCTCCAGAGCAACTACCGAGGTTACAGGGAAAGGAAGAAATACAAGGAGCATCGGGAACGTAACAAGACTTTAACAGGGGATGAGCTGGCCGTTTCCTCATCCACCCCTGAAGAAGTCACTCCTGGAGAAGATGTGGATGCTATACAAGAGGAAGTACAGGAGAATATGGAGGAAGAAGGGAAGGAGGCTGAGGAAGAGGCTGCAAGTGGAGGAGATGAGAACAATGAACAGGAATCCAAGGCAGCCACTGTTATCCAGAGCAACTTCAGAGGTCATAAAGAACGTAAAAGACTCCAAGAGGAGGGGAAGATGCCAGTTAGAGGGAAGAAGGAGACAAAGAGTCCTCCAGTTGAAGAGGAGCTTCCTATTCCAGATCCACCACCTCCAGAAGAACTGATGGAATTCACTGAGGACATGGAACAGGAAGATGAGGCTCCAGCTGAACCAGCAGGAGAAGATGAAGAGGCCAAAGCCGCTGTGGTTCTTCAGAGCAACTTCCGTGGCCAATTAGAGCGTAAAAGGCTCCAGGAGGAAGGCAAAATCCCCAAGAAAAAGCCAAAAGAAGATATGGCTAATCCAGACGCTTCAGAACCAGACATTTCTCTTGAGGAACTCCCACCACCTCCATTAGAATTCGAGCTAGACCAAGAGCTAGATTCCAGTCAGTCTCCAGGGGCAGATGAAGAACATGCTGCAACTGTTTTACAGAGCAATTTCAGAGGCCACCAGGAGAGAAAGCGATTGAGAGCAGAGAGAGAAGGAGCCACTGGAAAAGAGCAAGAAATTGTTGAAGAGATGGAGGAACAGGAGAATGGGGAGGCTCTGGACATCACAGATGTTCAGCTGGAACGGAAGGGGGTAGAAGAAGAGGAGGATTCTCAGGCTGAGGAAGCCCAATATGATGAGGAGCAGGCAGCCATTAAAATCCAGAGCAATTTTAGAGGTTACAAAGACAGAAAGAACCTGAAAGCTACATCACAAAAACAGGATGAGGAAGTGGAGGCACTCTGCAAACAGGTGATTCGTTTTTTTTGTGTGTTTGTGTAAGTTTACCCACAAAGGACTAATGTGTCATCATTTAATCACCCTGATTATCAATCCAAACCTTTATTTCTTCTGTGGAACATAAAAAAAGAAATCGAGATGGCAAATAGTTGTATTGTTTGGCTACTTTTGTGATGCTTTTTGTAATTTTCATAGTATGGAACAGAGCAGCATGAACAATCTGCCAAATTCTGCCGATTTGTGTTTGGTAGATGAAAGAATGTGTATGGCTAAATATGAAGGTGTGTAAATGATGACCTTTTTTCCCATGGACTAATCTTTCAAAGAGTAGCATCCTAAATATGAGACTTGATTTAAGATATACATTCTTTGCCTCATGAATTTTGAGGCTTTACACAAAATTCAGTTGATAACATTCTTTGTAACCTGCTCAGGTAACCAAAGTCTCTGAAGATTTCTTATCACTGCAGAAGAAGTTAAATGAAATCATACTTGCCCATCAGCTCAACCCCAGCGAAAATGGGATGTTTGTGAAAGGACAACCTATGAATGGTTACATGAGCTACTACCAGCCACCAGGTAAACGTCCTTCATAAATTGTGGTCCAGTCATGTCTGACATCTTAGTAATTGTAATCATTCTTATGTTTGTTGACTTTTACATATACTTTTTAAAAGTGCACTTTGTAATAATGTCAAATTAAAAGTTTTACTTTAAGGTACATTTTAAATCATTGTTTTAATAATCTTTTGTCATGTTTTTAAGAAGCACATTTATTTTGTAAAGTACTTGATCATAATTTTAACTGTGTGTTATTTAGTTTTACATTCAATTAATACATTTTAAATGTTCTAATCAACAAATGTGTTATTACAATATATTTAAATACATGACATACATGTTTCAATAGAAATGGCATAAATGTATGCTTGTCAGTAAATCGGGCAGTACACTTAAATTCAAAGACAATAGAATTAAATATGGACAATAATTAAGAAACTTATAATGTAATACGTTTTTTTTTTTTTTTAACAGAAAAAAAAATGTGGTGAAATACAGTTGTTTTTTAAAGATTAATATAGCTTAAAGTAAGAAATCTCGGTTACACTTTATTTTAAGGTGTTACAGTATAATTATACATTTAAGTACTATATGGTTAGGGTTAGGATTAGGGTTTGTCTTAGGGTTACTTGCATGTAATTATGCATAATTAATTGTTATTATAATAGTAAGTACATGTAACGTGTAACAAGGACACCTTAAAATAAAGTGTTACCGAAAACTTTACCTTAATTCAACTCCTGCAGTATACTTGTTGCTGTCAATTTTATCCGAACGTGAAGTTTCCGTTTCTCTAACAGAGACTGATCTTATCAAAAATTGGATGTCTAGTGCCACAACGTGCAAATTGGGCTCAACAAGATGTGTCATCAGAAATTTTCCCCCAGCTGAGCAAATCTACTGTTCATTTGATTTTTGTTGCGATATGTCTAATTACTTTTGGGAGGATAATTCTTGCAGATTCTATTATTCCTGATATGCACCTTGTGTCTAAATGAAACCAGATTATTCTGTCAGCAGTGATTATGGTTTCTGTGTAGACAGATGTGGCCTCCTGATCTGTTTTCCTCTTAATCTCATCTGTGAAGGCTTCATAAATACTGTGGTCATCTGCCCCATGTTTATTAATGATTTATTGTGATTGTAAAATGTCTTTGGAAGCTCCACAGTCAAAATAAATAATCTTAACCAGAGTCTTTCTGTGTGGAAACAATTATTATTGTGCAAATATTATTGTTTCCACATAGAAGTGCCCTTCGAATGGCAGTCACATTTCCATGTACATGAAAGGTCTTTAAATGCTAATCACATTGCATGCAAAAGTGCCCTGGCAATTACAGCAAGCATTAATATAAGAGCCGCAAATTGGCTTTATACCTCTGAGCAATCAAGAATTGCTGATGACCTTTCAAGTGACACATTCAATAAATATGACAAACTCTCCAGCCTGTGCCCGCTGGTCCTGGTGGACATTGATTAATTTTCTTTACACCGGACCTTTCTACATGATAAACAGAGCTTGAGTTAGCAGATGCTATTCAAATAAACCAAAGGTCATTTTGGTACCTTTTGGTGTTGATTGCAAAGAAAATCATATTTGATAAAGTATTCTGTATCAAAGGCTTTTTTTTAATGAGCGTTACACTTTTTTGACGTTGCACTTTTTGACAGTACTTGTATTTACAGTGTACTTACCTAAGAATGTACTTGTAACATAAGGTAGCTACATGGATTAATGTTGTTTTCAGTGGCAGGTTCAGGGTTAGTAGCTACTTACTTAATATTACCCAGTTATTGTAAGTACTATGCCCTTACTATATACTTACTTATAAATTAATAATTTGGTACAATGCACTTATTGTGTATGTACATCTTTTTACATTGTACTTGTATTAAAAATATATACCTGCATGTAATTACATCTGTAATTAATTTCTGCAATTGCATTTAAAATTAACCCACCCTTAAATCTACCCATACTACCAAACCTGTCCCTAACCTTACCAGTATCCCACCTCAATAGCAGCAAATGTGTTTTGGTGATACTTTATTTTACGGTGTCCTTGTTACACGTTACATGTACTTACTATTATAATAACAACAAATTATGCATAATTACATGAAAGTAACCCTAAGACAAACCCTAATCCTTAACCTACGCATATAGTAAGTACATGTAGTTAATTAATATTACTCAGTACTGAAATATATAATTACACTGTAACAAGGACACCTTAAAATAAAGTATAACCGTGTTTTGCAATACAATATGAACACAATGAGTACAATTTGATTTAAGTACACAGTAGTTAAGGCCACTTAATACTGTACATATAAAGTGGAACCAAATTTAATATTTTTGTATTTTATGAATTAGCTTATCCATAGATTAAACTCATCATACTTATTAACTGAATAAATGTAATTGAAAGTTGTTGTGCTGATTCGAAGTAATTTGAAGAAATGCATTCTGAAAATATTACTTGTATTTTAAATAACATCAAATACATGCAAATAGTTAATAAGCTATGCCATTATTATTATTATTATTTATTTTTTTTATGTATAGACATTTTACCCATTTCATTGTCAGTTTATGTTAAAACTGTGTAATCAAGTGAATGGGATTTTTATATGCAATTCAAATACATAAATCTTAAATTTAGGCTTAAATATTTTTGAGTGGATGATGGATGAAGAAAGAGAAATGAGAGAAATTATAAATGTGTTTCCTTCAATAATGAAAGCTAATAATAGAATTAATCATTGTAATTAAAAGCAGCATTCTCATTCTTACTTTTACTTGTCTGTGTCAGTGTTGGAACATGTTGTGACTGGAAGGCATTTCTGATGGATTGTCAGTGGATAATTACAAATAGCTAGGCTCAAGGGTTAAACCATGCCGTACGGTTTGTTCGATGAGAACAAAGGGGTCAAAGGTCAGCTGGATGTTGTGTGCTGATCCTGTTCTCCTGTGTAGCAATGGGGCTCGCCACCAGGGAATTAGTTGTTCTCTTTGCTCCTTATTCACACAGGAGACCTATAACACTAGACATAAGATCGCATCTTGAACGGGTTTTAAAGTATTGACTTCAAGGTCAAATATAAAATTTTCTGTTGGTTTTCAGCCTTTATTTTTCTGATCCACAGCCGACACAATGCAGTCACGAACGTCTCGCCGCACACAGCAACCAAAGACCCTGAACACACCAGAGGACTCCACATACTACACACTCATTCATGTGAGTCAGCATCACACAATGACTCCGTTTATCTAAGGATTATCTGGGCTTCAGCTTTAATGATCTTTCTCACACTTTTCCAGAGGTCTGTCCAGGACGATAAAAGGAGGCCAAGAAAACAAAGGTAAATCAATTAGCAGAAGTGTTATACTAAACAACAATGTGCCCTCTCCTTAGAAGCTGCTGCTTTGCAGACAGTGACAAAAGCTATGTTTGGAATGGAATACTAGTGTACCGCATACTGCATACGATACACTGTATACTGCCATTTTTTTTTTATTTTTTTTTTTAAATAGTATATGAAATAGTGCAGTGAAATCGTTCAACCTTACAACTGAAGTCTCATATGTTCACCAAAGCTGCATGTATTTGATCAAAACAGTAATATTGTGAAATATTATTAAAATGTTTAAAAAAAAACTATTTCTATTGTAATATATTTTAAAATGTAAATTATTCTTGTGATGTAAAGCTTAATTTCAGCATCATTACTCCAGTCTTCAGTGTCACATGATCCTTCAGAAATTATTCTGATATGCTGCTCAAGAAACATTTCTTATTATAACAGCTTAATATTTTTATAAAGCTGTTATGCATTATTTCAGGACTTCTTGATGATTAGACATTTCAAAAGAACAGTATTCATTTGAAATATTTTTGTAACAATGTAAAAGTCTTCACTATCATTTTTGATCAGTTTAATGCATCCTTGCTAAATAAGTTCTAATTTCTAAAGAAAATAAAAAATCTGACTCCAAAATATTGAACGATTTGCATTTTATTTTTGTATTTTTTTATTTAATTTTGTTCAATCCAGTAATCCTTTATTTTGGGGGGGTCTGATCTAATAAAAAGGCAAAAGATAGATTTTAAAAAAGGATCAAATCAAACACAGGTCTTATCAAACTATGGATTTTGGGATAATATATTCTGTGTTGGTAATAGATAAATAATAGATGCTGTCCCTAACATAGCTCATAAAAAATGTAACAACATTGGATATAAAGCTAAATCTTAACTCACATGAATTAAAAACAAATTGTATCAGTGTTGCCTCCAGTTCATCTTTTAATCGTATTTGCTGTTAAAATATGCTGTATAACTATCCAGTCTGTCTAACTAATACATAATGCAGTTACATTTTTCTCAAGTCAGACCAAATGTAGGTAAAGCATAAAGAATCTGATATAAAATCAGTAAAAACAGAATTGTAAACCATAGAGTCATTTGTAACGCTGATGCTAATAGCTTGCATATTACGGCTAGTTCCTGTATTTGGCTGTCAGCGGTTAGGCCAGCGTGACATATCCGCAGTGTCACAGCATGTGTGAAATATTGTGTGTGAACATGAATCCAGCCGCTGTGACAAACAGCTCTGACAGACAGACAGGGTGCCGGACACTTTAGAGCATCACTCACAGACTCACAGTTTTTGCAAGTCAGAGATGGGCAGCAGCATGCATCATTTCAGTATTCATGAAATCAACTTTCATAGTATATATGTTTCTGGTCTTATTGCGAATGATTGATCAGAACATGCATATTTTTTTTCTCATTAAATATCCTGTTTTACTTGTAAATGCTATATGTCAATTGAGGCTTGAGCATTTCATGTTGATTTTAAGAGTGAGAAGGTCAGTAGGACAGACAAATCTCTGGCTCTCTGATAACCGGCTCACGGTCTGTCAGAGAGAAATAGAGGAAGAGATTGGCAGTGGAAAGAGAGAACGCAGAGAGAGACAGGGGACCAATGAGGTATCTGGGGAGAAAAAGGGCAAGCTGAGGACATGCAGGTAATGAAGGTGTACTGCAGTACAAATGTGCAGAACTAGAGAGACGGAGCAAACAGATGTAACAGAACACTCTGTTTTCCTGAACTGTGTAGCTGCCACTTGAATGAATCCCTCAAAACCGTGTCCAAGTCCCATTTTACCTCAACATCTAAAGAAAACAAAAAGAAATTGTATTCTGCTTGAAGAAAATAAGCATATTTTTGACCGTTAGGATGTTAGGATTTTTGCTATTTTGGGCATTCATTTCAGGATGTTCATGATGCATGATCTTTAAGACTGTTTTATGGTAATACAAAAATAAGTATTACATTTTTGTCATTTTTATATTAATATGTTTTGTATTAATGTTTTGTTTTTGGCATTTTGATCAATTTGATGAGGTTTTCCACACAAATTCTCCATATAATTAATATATTAATTATATAATAAATAGAATTAGTTCAGGATAAAGTCAGAACACCAAATATTACTACAATTAAAAAAAAAAAACATAAATACTTTATTTTAATGATGATGATGATTATTTTCTTTTTATGGTCATAAATCATCTTTATATGTACATATATTTTCTATTTCTATTTTTGGCTTTTTGACATTAATTTCATGACATTTCAAGTTTAGAGCAACATATATATGTTGCTCTAAACTTGGAATGAAACTTGAAATATATATATTAAAAAACTTTATTATTTTAAGTATCTTCATAAAGTATTGCATATTTGTTATTATTATTATCATCATTATTACTATTATTATCTTTAAGACCCTTTCATGGTAATACAAAAAAATAAATATTAAATTTTTTCTATTAATATGTTTTCTATTAATGTTTTATTTTTGGCATTTTCACATTCATTACTCTGTATTATTACATTTTTTTTCTTTATAACAATAAACATTCTATAACTATACATATAATAATTTTCATATTCATATATTTTATATTAATATTTTAATATTTCAAGTATAATATTATATTAAAAAATGATATTAAAACAATAATTGTTTTTTGTTTGTTTGTTTTTGGTTTGTTAGACAGACAGGAAGTGCATCACTAGGCCAGTGGGGCTGACTGATATAATTGCATCAGCGGTCTGGCTGGCAGGCCGTAGGCTCTTGGCTTCAATGGTTTCATAGATCTCTGTTTTCATTACATAACGCTGCTGATAAGCCCTGAGACAATGAGTAAAGTCCACTGAAAGAACATTTCCATTTGAGTCCATCACTGCCGAAAAGCCAGTCATGAATCAGAGCCTGTCCTGAAGGCCGTCGCTTACATACTGCAGAACAGCCATGAAATACACTCAATACAGCATAATGGCCACCCATTAACAGCAGCCTGCTATGACAAAATAGATGTTATTTATGATCGGGAGCAATAAACTTTGGCTGAAGGCAAGGAGGGGGGTTTCGGTAACAAAGAATTCACTAAAATGTATGTCATTCCAAAGTAGATGGAAATGAGTTCTGCCGAACTCCAAAAATAGTCTTCTGAAGGAACAATCAATGACTTTGGTCTGTTCCTCACATGAAGCTAATTGTTCCAAATTCTCATCTGTTTTCTCTGCACCCACCAGCCCCAAAAGGCTGGACAATGATGACCAGTACTACCAGGGTTTGTCCAGCACAAAGTCCACAAGCCTGCCCAGTGACAGACGCCGCTACAGCAAACGGAGGTCTTCCACTGAAAGAAGAAGCTCTTCTGAGAGACCACGGTCTGATGTCCCCAAATCTGACCTCCCTAAGGACCCAACGGAGAAAAGGTGAAAGAACATTAAACATTTGCATCATTCTGTCTGTTTAACAAATACCATCCTCGAAGCGTTGACCTCAGTGCAGCACACAGCACTGCACATGATAAATGTGTTTGAGCAGAAGATGCAGATTTCAAAATGTGAAAACCTCCCCGCTTTCTTTCCCTTTCTCGCTTGCGTCTTCATTTCCGTGTGAAGTCACGCTTTATCTGCCCCTCTCTGTCCACAGGCACTCGTTCTCTAGAATGCCCTCTACAGAGAGTCAAAGTGAGGACAACCCTTATGACTACAGAAAGATACTGAGGAAGACCTCCCAGAGACGAAAGCTAATAACACAGCCCTAACCATCAAGCTTCAGAACTTCTGTAAATACTGTCAGTGACTGATGAAGTCAGCAGAAAATAAAGAAATTCGGGTTCACCTAAAAATGACATTTCTGGCATCATTTACTCACCGTTATGTCATTCCAAACCCATATGGTTTTCTTTCTTGTGTGAAACACAAAAGGAGAATTTTTGAATAATGTACCACCTGCTCTTTTCCATGCAGTTTCCATGAGTCAGGTCTGAATCAATTGAGAGGATTCATTCACAAATCGGACTGATCCGGTTCAACTCACTGCTCACTGGAGGGGAAGATTGTCTTTTTTTGGGTGACCTGTTTCTTTAAGTAATACGCCATATTTTCAGTCCATTTATTGTTACTTGGTTTGGTTTTCCATGAAAGCACTGGCTTTAGTTTAAGTAGTTACGTAAATAATGACTACTTAATGCTTTTTGCTGTACAGAATCGAATGCTACTTGACTAATCAGAGACTTAAATGAATAGAAATGATGTTTTTTTTATGGATGGAGCCAAGGAGCTGATGTTTTGACAAGACATTTGTGCTGCTCTTGCTTGATTTTGAACTCAGGTTTAGCAATCGTTGTTTTCTGTACGTTGATGCATGTGTAAGCCTCTCTGGGAATAAAGACGTGTTCTCTTAAAATTGACCTTTATATTTGCACGAGTTAGGTTATATTTGAATTACTGTCTGTACTGGATTCTTTGATTTAGTGAGTCAGACTTGCTGCCTGATTTATTCATAAACATTAAAATATGCATTATAAACCCGAATATCCCTGACCTATGTTTTAAATGTAATAAAATACAAGGTACATTTTTTCATTCTGTGTGGGAATGTGAAGGAGTGCAAAAGTTTTGGGATGGGGTGATTCAGTATGTTTCTCAGTTTACCTCTTCTCCGATTCCTTTATGCCCTGTATTGTGTGTATTAAGTATTTATGGAGACAATTTTTCTTTATCTAGTAAGGAAAGAAAATTAGTGGACTTATGTCTACTACAAGCCAGACGTTCTATTGCCCTATGTTGGAAGAATGCTAATTGCCCTTCCCTTGGACTATGGTTAAAAAATTGTATTTCTAGCTTGGCTCTTGAGAAACTTACATATGTAATAAGGAAAAAATCCTCGGAATTCAATGATATCTGGAAGACATTTTTGAACTTTGTTAAAGAAGGAGATATTGATGAGGCACTAGATGTGTGAAGATATGTAATATAAATATAACAATCAGGATTGTATTTATTTATTTATTTTATTTTATTTATTTTGCCTGCCAAGGCTTTGTGGTTGTGGGGATGGGGAAGAAGGTTTGATCATAAGTGTTCCTTGTTTACTTGTAAACGTTTTGGAAAAGTTAATAAAAATATGTTTAAAAATAAATAAATAAATAAAATATGCATTATAACAATTCCCAAGATGCACTGGTATCCAAATATATACTTGTTTGAATATATGGATATGTGTGTTCCTGGAATGTCACATATGATTTTCTAAATATTTAATTAAATGTGTAATTAGCCTAATTAAATTATAAATAATGTACATAGTGGCTGATGTTAAACCCTGAGCAGACTAAAGTTACTATAAATATAATTCATACTAAATCAGCTCATTCCGTTTATGCGTCCTTTTTATGTAAAATACATTATATGGTATTAAAACATTCTGGATTTCATGTTTAGATAACAGTGACGAAATAAAAATATAGTTTAGGGATATAGATTATATTCGAATATTAAACATAGGTTCTACCATTCTTCTAACACAAACTCCAAATTTAATTTCATAACTGATCAAATAAATCAATCTATTTGTGTTTGTATTTTAGTGTGATGCTAATTTTTTAGAGTATCTACATGGATTGCAGTTGAACAATATGTTTTTCCCCCCGATGTAACTCTCTTGACCTGCTTTTCTATCTGATTTTTCTCGTTTTCTCCACACCAACCTCATGCAAGTGGGCAAAAACGCTTATTTTCTGCTTTATTGTTATTTTTGCTTAACCTGTTATTTTCTACATCCTATAGTATAATTATAATTTATTTCTGCTTTATTTAGGGTTTCATTTTACTATATGCATGCGGAATAAATGGCCTGTGTGCCATTGCGCACGATCGCCGCACACAATTGAGAATGGTACTGAAAATAAATAAATTGACAGTATTTTTTTTTTTATTACTTCTAGGTTTTCCTGTTCATGTTTGAAACTGGGTCTCCAATTTCCTTATTAATAAGAAATGGTTTGATGATAAAAAAAGGGGGCATAGACCGCAGATCTGAATGTCACGGTCTATGGAGCAGCCGGGCTGCTCCTCCTGCTTCTGATGAAGTCTGCTCACTGCTGGAGTAAAGCAATTACAGAACCTATAAAAAATAAAAAACTGTTGTGCCTTCAGCACAGATGCGGGTGGTGCGCCTGGAGGGGCATAAACTAGTGTGTGTGTCACGATTAACGACGCAAAATAGTTCGTCATGACCCGAATCGCGTCGGAATTTCTCTGGTGACGTGAAGCGGATTATCTTTACGCCAAAAGAAGCTTTTATTACCACTAAAGTTGCACGTTTGCACGTTGGAGAGCCGGCGCAACGGATTGCAAGAAGTGCTTTTTAAAAATGTACTATGCACCCTTAACTTGCATTTGCAGCTGAGGCATGTGAAAGAGAATGAGAGCTATTGGATGCCTGCGTCTCCATCAGTGCCAGCGTTTCTCCATGAGTTCAGTGACGGTCTCCGGCTGCTCCAAATCATTGCGCACGGCGCACCAACTGAATCTAGACGCTCAGTCTCGGCTGTTCTCCATCTGAGGGCTTTGAACATCTTTTATGAGCACCTTAGCAATTAAAGCACTTGATTTGACTCGTTTGGACAGGTGTGATTGTAAATACATCGCGCACGCAGCTGGATTTTCGATTCAGCACCACGGCCGCGGACAGCTCCCGTTCCCCCGTGACGCGCGTCTGGATGGCTGCTGCTCGCGTTTCTCTGTCGCTGCTCTGATCCGCTCTGTTCGCGATGGCATCACACGGGTTTTGGTTTCTGGGTGCTGAAAACGCGTCTGGAAACGGCAGTCAAAGCCCGAACACTCGTAAGTGACATGGCGTTCAAAAAAGAACTTGAAAATATGCTGCATGATTGTGTTTATGTATGTTAGTGGGGCTGTGAGACAAAGAAATGGAATGATGCAAATGATTGCAATTTCTGCACTGTCACTCAAAAAAAAAAAACTCAGAATGGATCAGCAAAAATGTATTTTAGGGACAAATCACAACTGAGATATGATGTTGACAGTTACATCAGAGTAAATGACATTCAGAGCCTGAGTAAAAACTGACAGAGGTCAAGCTTTACCCGAGTTATGGAATAAAATTATTGCTTTATTGTCCTCTAGGTGGCGCCATTTCCAACATGTATGCCATGCTGCTGGCTCGCTATAAAATGTTCCCTGAGGTGAAGGAGAAAGGAATGTCATCCGTACCGAGACTGGTGGCCTTCACATCTGAACATGTATGTCTGTTCATTTATTTTCAGTATCAAAAGAGAGAAATAATAATATACTGTAAATAATAGTCAAAATAGTCATTTTATTTTAAGTCAGAATGTAAATTGTGAACGTCATTTGTTGAAAACACTCCCCAATTACATAATGCTAATATATTACATTACACTAAACTGTATTTATGTCCACATTTTGAGAATTTTGTATTTCAGTTATTAAAAGAGCGAGAGAGAGAGAGAGAGAGAGAGAGCAGTCAGAGGATAATTCCCACATTTTACTTAAAATGTGTTTTCTGTATTGCCCAGTGAAATTAATTTCTAAGAGTAAAAAAAGGAATGCAAATAAAGAAAGACAAGAAGGAATGTTTTTCTTTCAAGACAGCAAAATTGCATGTCATATCAACTTATATATGATTTCACAAAATGGCTTGATTACAGAACATTTTCATGTATGCTTGGTTATTGTTATTAAATAATAACTTATTCTTATTATTATAGCAAATAAAGACCCTAATCACTATTATATTTTTTCTAAGGACATTTCAAATATTTATAGATTTATGTTTATATGCAATTTAGTGCGTTAATGACTGATTATGCTTTTCAGAGCCATTTTTCAATCAAGAAAGGAGCAGCCGCACTTGGAATCGGTACAGAAAGTGTCATCTGTATTAAAGCTGATGAAAGGTTAGTCTGGATTATCACTACTGATGCATTACTTCATGACTGCACACTTGAGAAATGCACGTCTTATAATCACTAAGCCATATGACTTCTTTACTGCTCTCATTTCTTCCAGGGGTAAGATGATTCCTTCCGACCTTGAGAGGAGGATTATTGAAGCCAAGCAGAAGGTAATTTCAATGACCGTGTCTCCATGACCGTCTCGTGTGTCTCTTTTGGGTCTGCTTAAATAATCTGTGTGGTTCTTTGGCAAAATGGGCCCTTGAATAACGCATTGATTTCTTTCTCACAGGGATACGTGCCATTCTTTGTCAGCGCCACGGCCGGCACCACGGTTTATGGTGCCTTTGATCCTCTCATGGCTATAGCGGACATCTGTAAGAAGCATGATATCTGGATGCATGTGGATGTGAGTAGATCTGCTTTCCTGAACTTGCACGAACTTATGTGAACTTCCTGAACATTTCACCTGTGAAATACCGACAGTGGACTGGGATCCAAGAGTGATCTCAGTGTTGGCTCATCCGAAGTATTGTCCTCTGGATGCAGAACTGAGGCATTTTTCAATTGTACTGCATTACAGATCTTAAAGGGATAGTTCACCCAAAAGTTTAAATTCTGTCACCCTCACCCTCAAGTTATTCCAGACCTGTATGAGTTTCTTTTTTTTCTGTTGAACTCAAAAGACGATATTTTGGAGAATATGGGTAACCAAACAGTTGATGGTCCCCAATAACTTCCATAGCATGGAAAAAAAATACTATGGAAGTCAGTGGGGGCCATCAACTTTTTTTTCTTTTTTTTTCCCCAAAATATCTTTTGTGTTCAGTGGAAGAAATAAACTTATACAGGGTTGAAACAACTTGAGGGTGAGTACATGATGACAGGATTTTCATTTTTGGGTGAACTATCGCTTTAAAGGG